TGCAGCGGACGGCGCGGGAGCCTGGAGAGCTGCAGCGGACGGCGCGGAAGCCTGGGAGCGTGCAGCGGACGGCGCGGGAGCCTTGGAGCATGCAGCAGGAGACGAGGGGACCTTGGAGCGTGCAGCAGGAGACGAGGGGAACTTGGAGGTTGCTGCTGCTGTCGTAGAGGCCTGGGGAGATGCTGCTGCTGTCGTAGAGGCCTGGGGAGATGCTGCTGCTGTCGTAGAGGCCTGGGGAGATGCTGCTGCTGTCGTAGAGGCCTGTGGCTCTGCAGCAGACGACGGAGAGGCCTGTGGCTCTGCAGCAGACGACGGAGAGGCCTGTGGTTCTGCAGCAGACGATGGAGCTCTGCAGGAGCTTCTACAGCAGGAACTTCAACTACTGCGACAGGAACTGGGACTGGAACAGAACCCTCTGCGGCAGGAACGGAGTCTTCTGCGGCAGGAACGGAAACTGGAACGGAACCCTCTGCGGCAGGAACGGAACCCTCTGCGGCAGGAACGGAAACTGGAACGGAACCCTCTGCGGCAGGAACGGAACCCTCTGCGGCAGGAAAGGAAAAGGAAAACGGAGCCCTCTGCGGCGGCGGCGGCAGCGGCAGCAGGAAAGGAAACAGGAACGGAGCCCTCTGCGGCGGCGGCAGGAACGGAGCCCTCTGCGGCGGCGGCGGCAGGAACAGAACAGGAGAGCGTCTACCGGGACCCCCTCGGAACATGATAGATGAGGAGCGTCTGCTGGGACCCCCTCGGAACAGGAGAGGTGAGGATCCACCTCAGGGGCTGCGTGCAGCGTGGAGTCCACCTCAGGGATGACAGTAACAGGGGTCTTAAAAGTCTCTAACTTAGATAATAAAAAGTCATACTCGGGAGCAAAGAAAGACCAGGGATAGAAAGTAAAAAATCCTCCATCTGGGACAAAACGATATCAAAGGAGGACGGGTTAGTTTTAGCAGAATTAAATAATTCAAAAAGGGTCTGATTAATTTGAAAAATCTCTTCAGGAGAAAATGAATGAAAAAAGGGAATGTCTCTATGTGTGGGTGTGGTGACGGGTGCCGCCCCCACCGGAAACCTGGAAGGTGAGGCGGCGGAACACGCCCCCACGGAGTCACTAGGAATATGCTCCGGAGGTACGGCCCGGCTGGGTCGAACAGCCGCGGCGCGGAGTGGCGGTGAGAGGCCGGATTCCGCCCCCACCAGGAACCTGGAAGGTGAGGCGATGGAACCCGCCCCTGTGACGTCAACTGGACCGGACTCACCGAACCGAACAGGAGTGGACCGGAGCTCCCGCGGGACGCTGGATCTCGCCCCCACCGAAAACCTGGAAGGTGAGGCGGCGGACCCCGCTCCCACAGAAACACCGGAACCAGCTCTAAAGTTCTGCTCAGCCGACGAGACTGGGCCGGCCGCCGCGGACTGCCTCCGGAACCGTTTTCTGCCACTACGGCGGCGGTGGGACGGCAGAAGGACAGGGACGGAGTGGAGCTCGTCCATCTTGGCTCGAGGAGGAAAAAAGAAAAAAGGTGAGTGTTGCCGAGAGAGAACCCTGCCCGCTGGGTTCTAGTCTGGTCGCGTCGTAATGTTAGGATTTGTGGTCAGGAGCGAACCCAGACTGCAGAACAGGGACTCAACTCGGCAGGATTACAAAAATAGGAATTTAATGATTAAAAAAAGGTACAAAATAACAAGCTGACGGGGCAGCAAAACTTA